GTTCGTGTGTGTGGTGGGGTGTCTCGTTTGCTTCGCTCTCTCTCTCTCTCTCTCTCTCTCTCTCTCTCTCTCTCTCTCTCTCTCTCTCAAGCTGCCTCACTCTGGCATTCAATTCACTCTGTAGTCCAGGTGGGCCTCAAATTTGTGGCTCTCCTACCTCAGCCTCTTGACTGGCTTTAATAGTTCCTTTAAGAAAAAGTCCTCATCAAAACATTATTTTTAAAGGGCTGGGGGTGCTAGAGAGATGGCTCAGCAGTTAATAGCACTGGTTGCTCTTCCAGAGGAACTGAATTCAGTTCCCTGCACCTACATGGCTGTCTGTAACTCCAGTTCCAGGAAATTCAACATCCTCTTCTGGCCTCCACGGGCATTGGATGACACAGGTGCACTTACATACATGCAAGCAAAACACACTTAGAATAAAATTTAAAAAGAAAAAGTCCTCTTTTAGTGAGAAGAAAAACTTGAACCAGACTATACTTATATTTTTGTTCTTGAATATTTCGTATCACTTAAGATTATTTCATTTAGTTAGTGAAACAAAATAACATTTAAAAAATAATAGGCTTTTCACAAAAACCTTGCATATTTAAATTTTGGGGTGGTCAACAAGGACAACACAAAGGGAGCCAGCACATCCTGTAACATTTTATTATTCAAATCGCTTAGATAGTACCATTTCATATATTTATTTATTTTATGCATGTATGTGTGTGCATGTTCCTGTGTGCTCATGCTCCGGGGGGGGGGCATATACTTGTGAACACAGATGTGTGGGAGGCCAGAGGACAACCTCAGGTGTCATTCTCAGGAACACTATCCATACCTCCTTTGAGACAACAGCCTTCATTGATCTGGAGCGCATTAATTAAGCCAGACTGATTGGCCAGTACATCCTAGGGATCTCCTTGTCTCTGCCTCCCCAGTGCTGGAGTTATAAAGGTGAGCTACTGTGTCCAGCATTTTTAAGTGGGTTTTAGAGATTAAACTCGGGTCCTCATGCTTGTGTGGCAACGGCTTTACTGACTGAAGCCATCTCCTCAGTCCCCCCAGCATTTTATACATCTTAAATGAAGAACAATATTCCTAATTTCCTTGAGGGGTATTATTTTGCATTAGCATAACAATTAGCTTCCCTATTCATAAAACCACAAAACAAATATATCAAAAGACCAAATGAAATAAGGAATTTAAACAGTCTGAAAATCCAAGCAATAGCAATGTGAATACCCTCTTTTACAGTCAACAGTAATGTATATAGTATTTAAAACAAATCAGTTTTGTTTTCTTTTGGGCAAAAGTAACGTAAGGAAAAAAAATAATTTTTTGGAAAAGGGCTCTTGAGTAATTCATCTTCCTAGATGCTTTCTGGTTACTCAGCCTCCAAAGCAGCTTCTGTGGCCTCCTGCCAAAGCCAAAAGGAAATCAAGGGCTTCCCTACTTACCCTGAAACATTTTATTAGTCATCTTTCATCCATAAAACCAGGAGGAAAAGCCACGGTTTCTTCTATGCTAAGCTTATGGCAGAGTGGCTTGAGGAAAATCTTCTACCTTAGAATATTGGCTTCTTTACCATGTGTGTTGGTAATTTTTGAGTGTCACCTGGGAAGAGGCAACCTCAACTGGGGAATTTCCTCCATCAGACTGGCGTATGGGACATTTTCTTGATTGTTAACTGACTTAGGAGGAGCCAGCCCGCTGTAAGTGGCATCACCCCTGGGCATATGGGCCGGGGCTTGTGTAACAAAAAGCAGCTGAGCGAGCCAGGGAGAAGTAAGCCATGAAACAGAGTTCTCCATGGACTCTGCTTCAGTTCTTGCCTCTAGGTTCATGCCTTGACATCCCCGATGACCAACTGTGAGCTATAAGGCAAATAAGCCCTCTCCTCCCTAAGTTATTTTTTTGGTCAGTGTTTCTATCATGGCAACAGAACACAAACTAATACACCACATTTGAAAAAAACAAAAATGACTTTGCATTTTCTTCTCTTGTTCCATTCCATTTCCCAAACCTTAAAAGTATTATGATGGCCAAAAGCTCTGTTTTGAGAGTTTTACACACAGACAACTGGCGAAGTCCAAAGATAAGCCCAAGTTCAAATCTATCTTTACTGGATTTATCTAAACACAATACTGCTAAGAACTCAAACATCTAAAAGGCAATTTTTAATATGCCTTCCTACTACAATTTATAAGACTGAAATTTTTTAATTACTACAAAATAAAACTGCAGAAAACTGCTTTGAGATCTAGCAAGACAAAATGTTAAGAAATCATTATTTTTCTCCAAATTGCTTTCATAACTCTCCACTGAAAAAAGCCCTGAATCCTACCGAATTAGCTCAGCCCACTCAATAGTCCCAGTCTTCCTTCCCAGATCCCCACTGGAGAGAACTCCTGGCCACAATATAAAAATGATGGCTTTAATAAGGATGCATGGAATGAGCCGGACTCATTAAACCCACTGAAGCTTGCTTAGAATGACTTAGAGTTGGTAAGGACTTGTGGGGATGATGAAGTAATTCTGACAGAAAAATCCATTAAAAAGGTGTTAGTAGGCGTTATACAGAAACACTAGCTTTGCTGATGCTTATTAGCTACTAAATAACTCAGACAAAACTTGACTTCTGATATTAAAAAAATCCATGTGTTCTAGAGAGAACAAGCACTTGTTCTTAATTATTATTGGTGGCAGTGAGCCACTAACATCAATTTGCCAATCCTTTGAGAAGAAACAATGTCCTTTTTCAGGAACAGTGAAAAGTCACAGAGAAAGGAGAGGCATTTTCGTGCAATCCTTACAATATGAAACCTGTTTGCTCCGTTTCTTAATGTGTCATATATAAACCTGAAAATGGATGAAGTCCTTTTTCCTAATTACAACTGATCCTCTTAGCAAATATAACCATAATTTACATTTGACCCCCAAATACTTCCATTGAATGACACATGCCTGTGACTTTTCAGTGACTGGAGCTGAGTTCATTAGTTTTCACAGTTATACTACTGACAGAAAAGGTGTACTGAAATGGTCATAATGTAAAATCCCGAGGACACTAACAGGTACAATGAAGTCTTTTATAAGGGAAAAACCTGGATATCCAGTCAGAGGAACTCACATAATATTAAAGGTATACAGTGGACTATTAAATAGCAATTTAAAATGATACTTTTGTATTTAGCAGCATGGGAAAATGTTTAGATCTTAGTACTTTTAAAAGAATATGCGATGTTATACATACACTGAACCCCTTTCACACGAATGGAATTGCTCCTCCATAGTTGTGCCTAGTTCAGTGATCCCCAAAGTATAGTCTTCTCAAAACCAAAACAGCCCTAGAAATGAAAAATTCTTTGGGCCCTCGCACAACAGCTCTGAATCAGAAACTTTGGAGGAGGGAGGAGCCCAGAAATTTGTATTTTTATAAGCCTTCCTCACAATTCTGATAGCTAATAAGGTGTAAAAACCAACTACCCCCTAGAAAATCCTCAAGTCTCATATAAAACAATTCTCCCCAGGGAAGCCTTGCTGCCCAGCCCATCCTGCCAGCTTACCTGGCTCTATGCTGTGTAATGTTACAGCAGCCAAATGTTTTATTCCCAGGTGGTAAGTATCCCAAGTTTTTCATTATGGTTATATAATGAGTGTCTTCATCTCTCTCCAGACTGGATATTCTCAAGACTGGATACACATTCAAACTACCTGTAAGCTCTCAAATAGCCAAATGCTTACATCACACTCTGGGCCAGACAGATCTATGAACATATGATTGTACTTTTTAAACATGAGTCTTCTGTTGAGTCAAGGTTAAGAACCATTATTATGTACTCTAGATCCTTGAGGATTCAGTACTAGTAAATGGCGGCCAGTATGTGTCCAATATGTTTCTGTTTTGTTTAGGGCTTTTAAAAAATTTTTGTGAGTTTTTTCCTTCAGTATTGAATAGGTTGAAAACTGCAAATGTACAGAAAGAGTTCAGTGGAGAGAAGAGTAAGTCCTTTTCTCTCCATCTCTGAGGCAGTACTGTGTATTTTCTTTTTTATCAATACAAATAAAAGAAAATGTTTTACAGATTTTTCCCTGCTTTTTATGCATTCTTGCACTTTTCATAAAATGCATACACGTAAATCTCAATGTGGGGAAAGGAGGAACCCTAAAGACAGCTGACTGTATACCCAAAGCTGTTAAGTAGATAGAGACCTTGTGGATTTCCAGAAAAATGTTCACAGGACATTGTGTATTATAATAAAGATACCCTTTGTCTGACTTAAGGACATAACTGTCCAATTATTCCACGGGCTCTGGTTCAGAAATATTTGCACATCTGATCAGATAGTCAAGATCCTCCAGAACTGTCACCAGGAAATCAGGAAATAAGACATAATTCATTCTAGACCTTGAATTTAATTAGCATTGTGGTTTACAGACTTGTCTTGTCTTGATTAGAAGTGCTTCACTAAGATTGGCTATCCCTGGACATACTATGATGAAAGGCTGGGGCCTGAATTGCAGAGCAGTGACTCAAACATGGTTCCTTCAAAGACCTGAGCCCCTCCAAGTCTGTGCAGGAAGGTGATTCTACCTCAGTGTAACACTGCAGATCTGGAATTACGTCTGTCTTCTGAAAAAAACAGATGAGGGGAGTTACTTAGCATTACATTAACAGTCTAACCCCAAAACTTGGATTGATTAGTTTGATTGATTTACCCTCCTCTCTTACTTTTATGGTCTACCGTCATGTCTCTCTGTGTCAGTGTGGCTCTTTCTAGCAGCAACTCCTGGATATTTCGCCTCTATTTTGTGTCCACCATGTAGTATGAATTCAGCTTGAGACTTTAAAAACCACCCAAATAGACCCAAGAATTATCCAAGGAGGGAAGTGCCTGGGGTTTGAAGCATAGGTTTGAGGGCATTTCTTTAAGGACTTTGATGATTTTCCTGCTTAAGTCCTGGTCCTCAGCTTATGCTATAGACAAAGGAGACCAGGAAGAAAGGTCCTCAGGAAAGATGAAGCATTCCCATGATTCCCAAGATGATAATATTATTCTGGCAAAGGCCAAGGTGTGGAGTCACAATTAAGGGGGAAATTTTTTGATACTTACATACACAGAACCATGGGGAAAATGTTAAAATTCTTGGGTAATACAAGGAAACTAGTAAGATGATGACTACAATCAATCAGAACAAGTAGTCAGCTAGACACTGGCTACCCCAGCTCCTCCAGAATAGCAACCTACCACAGAGACATTATTTAAGCCTTGCCCTGTGCCATTTGCTCATTGTTCTATGTATGTTTATTCTCTCTCTTCTCACCTACAACTTAGTGGGAGGCCCAAGTCTTATCTCCTAATGCTTCAATTTCTAGTGCTGAGTCCAGTCAATGTTTAAGTTACATCAAATAGTTGATAATTAGGCTACAGCAGAAAACCAACCACACATAACAAGCATGATAAAAAACTTTAAAGTTATTTATAGCCAGTATTCAATGCTGATAAGATGAATACTGAAATTCATTGTAGTAGTATCCATAATTATTGTAAACTTAATTGTGCATTTTAGGTTAAGTCTATGTGATGCTTAATCTTTACTGTCAACCCAACTGGATTAAGAAATGCCTGGAGCGTTAGTGAGCATTAGTGCACCTTTGCGTGTGTCTGCGAGGTCACTTCCAGAGAAGATTAACTGAGGGGAATGCTGGTGGCACCATCCCACAGTATAGGGTGCTGAACAAAAGAGGAGAAAGCCACCTGAACACCACCATTCCCTACCCTCTGACTGCTGGCCTACCAAAATGCAAAGGACCACAGCCACATGCTCTTACTGCCACGAACTCTGTCATGCCTTCCTAGCCATGATGGAATGGACCTTCTTAAACAGAAAGCCAAATAAATCCTTCTTCCCTGAAGCTGCTTCTCTCAGATATTTTGTAACAGCAATGAGAAAAATAGCTAATGCACCTTAACACCATTTTTATTAACTTATACTCACCGTATCAAATCAAAAGAATCTGTTATCTTGCCAAACTCTTTTAGGTTTGCCTTTACATCTTATAAAGGGTCAATATCTGGAATATATAAGAAATTTAAGTCATTTAGAGGGGAGAAGGGAATCACAGTAGGAAGGGTTAAATGGGACGGAGAACAGGAGGGCAGGTCAGAGGAGGGAGTGGGAGGAGGGATAACTAACACTAAAGGCCTTTAGAAAAAGCCATGTGGAAACCTACCACTGTAGAAGCTTCTTCAAGTATATGCACACATATTATAAAAAAGAGATTTAAAGGAGTTATAACAGGGGAAAACTGCCCCTGCTGGACACCAAAGGCTAAACGAGTAAAAGCCCAATGCCAGGAATGGACTCCCTCTTTTGAATCCGTTGGTCAGGGGTCCCATAGACCCTAAAAAAAAT